GGTGCTAGCCCTCCCTATAGATTTTTTCCATACAATAATAAAACAAAGCAATGTACGATGAAAACTGAAGGTTCAACAAATTAAGCTTGTTGCCTCAGCTGAACAGCGGTCTGTGCAAAGATGCTGCAGCTTCTCACATCAAAGCTCGTGTCAGTAATCATCTGAGCCACCTGCGTTTATCACCGATGTGTGTGAAATGTCAGCCTCCTATCGGAACTGTAGGGGGAAATCAGTTGAATGTAGACGAAGGTTTCACAGCAACCAGGCTACAGTCATCTCCTGTGATTCACTCCCTCACATGCAAAACACTATTCATTCATTTGCTCACGCCGTCCCCAAAGTCGCGGCTCCCTGACTGATTTACTCAATTATCCACTTAAACGTAAGACATCCTCATTCACATTCTGACTTCCTTCATCTAAGCACTCTCTGAGGAGGCGGCACACTACTCCCTCTCAGAAACTCGATACCTTCCCGTACATACGGTGCTTACAGTTAGCCGAGGTCGGAGTCAGTCATCTGGGGACGATCGCGCCACATCACCACGCTCAGGAGTGCTGATTTTAAAAAGCAGAACTGCGACACATCAAAAGCCTCATTGTCATGCTTCACCAAACTTCACAGCGGGCGACCTGCAATCGGGGCACCATCTTTCGAAATCAGCAGACACGCATCGGTGATTTAACTCATTCATTACGGGTAGAGGGGTGTGTTGATGGAATACAGTGTGAATAAGATAAGTGGAGAGCAGGTCACTGTTAGTGCTGCCTGTCTGAGTGGATGAGAGGAAGTGAAGGTGAGGTTACGGAAGGAAGCAGGCGAATATGTGTTTGCTATGTGAGTGAGGGGAAGAGAGACTTGTACTGAAACTGGCTTTAACCCTTTAGATTACCAATGCAGGTTTCATAAATCTTTATAGAAACATCTGAAAGGGACAAGAATGCAAAGGAGGCAGCTTTACCCTGGCAACAAATGACGCATTTCTACCCAAAGTACCCAGAAGCTTTAGTTCTTGCAAGTTTTTCAATAACTAAACAGTTTTTGCACAAGATTGTACTTCATAATCTGTCTATCTGTCCTATAGTTTGTTCTTTATCCATCCATCCATCCATCCATCCATTATCTATACACCACTTAATCCTCACGAGGGTCGCGGGGGCGCTGGAGTCTATCCCAGCTGACTTAGGGTGAAGGCAGGGGACACCCTGGACAGGTCACCAGTCTATCACAGGGCTACACTTAGAGACAGACGACCAAGTACACTCACACCTACGGACAATTTAGAATCACCAATTAACATCAACATGTTTTTGGACCTTGTGGGAGGAAGCCGGAGAACCCAGAGAGAACCCACGCTGCACGGGGAGAACATGCAAACTCCACGCAGAAAGATCCCAGGTGTCCTCAACAGGATGCGAACCGGCAACCTTCCAGCTGTCTAGACAACGGTGCTAACCACCGAGCCACCTTGCAGTCTTGCTCTATATCTCAATGTTTAAGTGTCGAAGCACAATGACCCTAAAAAAAAAAAAACAGTTCACGGCTTTTTAAAAATGGTGTCAGTGATAAAATGCT